CATTTTTTTAGATTAATCAGACAAAAAGCAAAAAAAATGAAAAAAATGCAAAATTTGGCAAAAAAAATGTCTGCGACAAATTTTCGAATTTTGAAATTTTGAAACTGCTATTCTTTCAGATTTTGCCAGTAGATTCCAAAAATGCAAACCCAAAGAAAATCGACCGAAAAATACGACTTCTAGAGCCGATTATCTATTCTTGCATATATTGAACTGTGGCACTTCCGGTTTTGCAAAAAAGATCCAAAATATATTTATGCACATCGTCGCCTATATCTAAGGTTCGTGAATGTTGAATGGTTGCTGCAACTATTGTAGTCTAAGCTCAGGAAGGTGTGTAAAAATCGAAAAAAAAAAAAAAAAAAAAGAATTGACAATTCGATAACAAACTGGGACTTTGCTGAAAGCAAAGTCCCACAACTAGAGCCACACGTGGCACAGAATGGGACTTTGCCAATATAGCAAATTGCAAAAGACTCTGAAAAAATCAACCTTCTACGATAATTACATCACGCGCAAGAGCAGTCTAAAGTTGAGAAGAATTCTTTGGAAGATTGGTATAACGGAAGTAGACAGACCTCACAAATGAAAGTATCAGAAGATAGCCAAGGTCAATGACATTTAACATTGAAAGGGAGAGGGTCAACAAAGGTCAAGGTTACGAGATACAAGTCATCAAAATTTTTGAATATATACGGCTATAAAACCGGAAGTTGAGATAGGACAGCAAATATAAAAGTATAAATAGACAACCAATTTGAATGACCTTTGATCCTACAAAAATCAGGGTCAAAAAAGGTCAAGGTCAAAAATTGAAAATTTTGAATTTTCAAAACCTGTTCCTTTTTTTGAACTATAAAGCTGAAACAATCGAACTTCTAAGACAACGTGGCTCAACGGATGAAGTAATTGTATGCAAAGTTCCATTTTGAACAAATGTATACGTTGCGAGTTAAGTCCCTTGTCAAAATTGTCAATAATGAGTAATTTAACCCGGATGTACTACGCCCACCTCAATTTCTTTTCCATAGGTTAATTGATATTCTGAACGTTATGTAGTATCCCAAATTTAAAGCTTCTACATCATACAGGTCAAAAGATATAGGTCAACAAGAGTCAATAAAGGTCAAAATAGAAAATTGAAAATATGGAAATTTCAAAACCCGTTCCTTTTTTGGAACTATAAAGCTGAAACAATTGACCTATTAACACAAACTGGCCAAAATAATGAGGTAATTGTGTGCAAAGTTCCTTTTTGAACAAATGTATCCTATGCGAGTTATGCCCCTTTCCCAAAATGTAAACAATTAGTAATTCCACCCGGATGTGCCACGCCCACCTCAACTTTTTTGTCATAGGTTAATTCATATTCAAATTGTCTTGTAGTGTTGCAAGTTTCAAAGTTCTACATAAAATAGATCATAAGATATATACACACCAAGCTCAAAGAAACAGAAATATGGTAAAAAAAACTCAAATTTGAAAAATTCACGAATTTCAATTTTGCTTTAAAAAACGATTGTTATAATTCACTTGAAAGAGCATGAAAAGCACATTAAGAATCCGAAAAAATTAACCCTCTAGGTTAATTAGGTCACGTGCTAGAGCAGTCCAAAGTTGCCAATTTGGCTGTTTTCGGAAAGCTATAAAACCGGAAGTACATGTCAGAGGTCAAATGTCAAAGTATTAACTGATAGCTAAGGTCAATGACCTTTGACCTT